CCTTCCCGGGGGATCATGTTCGCAATTCGTAAAACCTTTTCTTTTTTTAAATGAAAAAAATATGTCCCCAGGGTAGGACATTTCATCAGCAATCCCAGGAAAGTGGAAATAAATATGGTAAAATAAAATGGAACTCCATTAACGAGTTCTGCTTCGTGACAAATGACTTGCCTTTGGCAGGTAGCCATTCTTTAAAGGAAACTTTTGGCCATCCGCTTTGCTTTAAACGCTTTTCAATCAGGTCTCCAGTCCTCTCTTCTGCTTCTTTAGTTTTAGATACACACTGTTTTCTCTGAAGACATATGCTTGCAATTTGCAATTTGGTGTCCTATAACTCTGGAATATGGCTAGCTACTAAAATAACTTGCCCATGAAAATACAGATTATAAGTGTATCTAGTAGTGTCTATTTCGTGTCATGGATTTATAGTTCGCTGTCTGTTTTATTCCCTGCATTCTTCTCTCTCTTTTTCTATTATTATTTTCTTTTTTAAAATAGCAGGCATACTCTTGCCCTCAAAATTCTATTTCGTCTCACTCTCTGAGGGCCTGGTGCACATGCGGTCCTCAGAGAAGGAATGACACAGGAATCAGGTGCTCTGGCATCTTCTCATATGCATTCTAGTGGGCTGGTTCTGTGATTGAATTTCTACCTGCAGGGTTGGACTACCTCCTGGGCCACCCAGTGGGGCTTCTCTTTGAGCCTGAGATCCTCAGGATAAGGGCTGGATCTTCCTCATTTCTGAATCCCTGGTTCCTTGCTCACAATAGATACTCATTAAATGTTTTTAAAATGATTGATCAAGGCCCAACTCATGCTTTTGTTTGTTTTTGAGGTGGGGTCTTACTCTGTCACCCAGGTTGGAGTGCAGTGGCATAATCATGGCTCACCACAGCTTCGACCTGGATTCAGGATATCCTTCCATCTCAGCCTCCCAAGTAGCTAGGACTACAGGCACACACCACCATGCCCGGCTAATTTTTTGATTTAGTAGAGACGGGGTCTTGCTGTGTTGCCTAGGCTGGCCTCAAACCCCTGAGCTAAAAACAATCTTCCCATCTTGGCCTCCCAAAGGGCAGGGGTTACAGGCATGAACCACTGTGTCTGGTCCCAACTCATGCTTTTGTATGAAAAAATTCATTTCTGGGAAAAAATAATAATTCTGGTTGTAATTATTCCAAAGGTAAGGGGGTTGGCACCGGTCCTGGAAGCAGGGCAGCCCTCAGCAAAATTCTTGGGAGGGTACAATGTCTCTCTGGTTCTCACAGCTCTCTGCTCCACTCCCTAGTGTATCCTCTCTAGTCCTCAGCTGCACAGATCTTTACCTCTGACTTCTTACTAGGTCTGGCTCCAGATAACATCTGTGCTCCTGGTGGCTACCATCAGAATAAGGGTTCCTGTGTCCCCTCCCCTCAGGCCTTGCTGTGGGCTTTCCAAGATGGCAGCCAGCAAAGTAGAGTCACATCTGCCCCAACTCCTCTCTCGAGCCCCAGACTTTGACCTGCCCCAGACTCATCCCCTTCCCAACACAGCTACGAGGTAAGGAAATGAAGCCCTTAGCTGTGCTGTTGCCTCTGCCTGGGAGTCTCCTGCTTCCAGTTCCTCCCTGCCCAGCGACTGCTAACTCATTCTTCAAGGCATCAATCAAGATGTAATGACTCCTGCTGGTGCCAGCGGTTGCAGTGGGCTCCAGTCCCAAGGCGATGTGCACACTGTTCCTCTTCAGCACGCTTCCTGCATTGTATTGCATTTATTACTTTATGTGATTACCTTCCAGATCAGATTGTGAGCCATGGGCTTTCTCATCGTTTCCCCAGTGCTGAGCATGGTACCTGGCCTGGACCATAGTGGATTCTTGATAAACAAGCAAGCAAGAAAGTGAGGAAGGAAAAAGAGTTGGGGGTGGGGGAAGGAAAGGAAGAAAAAGGGGTAACCTCTCAACTCTTCTTTGTTTTCACACTGGCTGAAGTTCAATGTAAGAGTAGCTGAGATTAAAAGGACAAGAGAGAAAAGAGGCATGGGGGGTTCTGGCCTCACTGGGTTAAAATTTAGGATTGAGCGGCTGGAAGGCTTTCCTCCGGTCACTGGGGGAGACTGTCTCTTCTGATGCTATGGAATGCAGAGAGTGATAAGCTCTTACTGACTCCAACTTGCTTTATTCCTGACTGGACTGAAATTGGTAAAGTTTTTTGTTTTTTTTCCAAGCAGTCTCTATCGTGTGATAGACCAAGCAAAGCCCAGTAAACACAGGGTATTCCTTGAACCTTATGGATGGTGAGTTAGCAGGACCAAAGAGCTACATGGTCTCAACCAATGTCACTTTCCAGTGCGGTGATGGCTCTGTCTTATCACAAGCACCATCAGCCCTGGCTAGGTCCTCACCCACAGTGTCCCTGACTCAGCTGACAGCCGCCTGCTGGGAGGATTCCCTTCCACACAGTGATGACATTCAGCAAAGCCACAGTTTCCTTTACCCAGAAGGAAACCCGTGTGGTTTGGAGCTGGTGAGGCATGGATGAGCAAACGCAGATTTTTTCCCATTGCCCGATGGCTTTAAATGGCAACCTCTCTTTTAATTTTCCATTATGTATCAAACACATCTGTGCCAGCGCTGGGCACATGGATTCCGTCTGGGAGGAGGATCCCAGACAGCTATAAATTAGAGCTTGTGTTCAGAGATTCCAAAAATGTGGTCTCGTGGTAGGGTGTCCCTGGGACCCGTCACCCCCTCCACAGTCTGCTGGGTGGCTGCCGGCTTTGGCCTGATGCCTCTGTCAATAGATTTTGCTTTGTATTTGCAAACTCTGCCTTTCCATCAAGTTGCCACAGAGACGAGGGTGTGCAGGGTTGCCTGTGAGGATTTGCTTTGGGCAGACTTGTCTGACAACCTCTGGCTGCTCCTAGGGACAGTACTTGACCCAGGGAGTCACTCTCCTTCCTTCACAGGAACAGCAAAGACCTCAAAACTGGTCTCCTCCCACGTTATAGCTTCACCCAAGAAGACCCTTCCCACTTTTTCTGGCTTGAACATAGAAACTACCATGTCATACTTTCTAAAAACATTTTTAAAGTTCCAAGAGAAATACATGCTTAATGCAGAAAACATAGAAAATACAGCGAAAAGAAAAGCAGTCACCTGCAATTCAACCCTTAATGGATAAATATTGTTAATGTTCTAGCAAGATTTCTTTCAATGGGTTTCTGTCCCCTGCTATCCTTAAAAGTGCAGACATCTTTCAAAAGCTGGTTCAGCCCGGTTCCTTTAGCTGTCCCTCATATTATCCAATTAGTGCCTTCCTCTAAGGACTGGAAACTTTTAGTTATTCCACTTGGGAGCATCCAGCTGGTAGAATTCTGCCCCTCTGACTCCTCCTCCCTGAAGTCATGCTGCTTTTCTGAAGAAGCAGGCCCCAGAGGGAATTGGCCTTGGGGGATAGAAGGTAACAAGGGATAAAGTCCCTTATAAATCCAAACAGGTGACCCTAAAGGGTAGCATCCGGTCCTTTATAAGCTATCCCACAAGATAGAAGGCTTCCGTATCCAAAGACTCTGGTCTCACTCTGACTGTGATATGATTTCTCCTTATTGGGTCTCGAACCCTCTAACTTCTGTCCTGTTGCCAGCATCTGGGTGTGCTCTGCTCTGTTTGGACAGGGTCAGCCTCTACACGGGTCATCTGGTGGCAGGTAGGGCAGCCCAACGGTCCCTGGATGGGCTGGCAGGACCAGGAGGCTATTTTTACATCTCTGCTTACTTTCCTGTAGTGTTCCGAGCCCAGAAGGTGCCCAGTAAGTATCTGTTGATTGATTGATACTGTGAAACTCGAGAGTGGTGTTTGTGGAGAGAGAACACCGTGGCCAGCGCCTGCTGGCGCCCAGTGGCAGAGGCTCAGTGATGGCCCACATGGCTTCCAGCATCCATGCTGAGCCTCACAAAAGCCTTCAGAGTGGAGAAGGACAGGAAGACGGGTGATGACTCTACCAGCCGCCAGCCTGCCCAGCCACTGCCTGTGCCAGCCACTCAGCCTCTGCAGGAGCCACACAGCACACAGACCCTGCTTTTTCAGAAAATTATTTTTTCCTTTCTCACTTTCCATGGAAACTCAAAATAGCAACCAAAAAAAAAAAGAGCCTCCCTCCCTACTGGCAAAACCATCCCTAGGCAGGGCAGTGACCACCTAGGACCAGGGAGAGGGCTAGAGATGCCTCTAAAACAACTTTCTATTTGGGGCTGTGGGCAGACTCTGAGGCTGATGTATTTTCTTCAGTTTAGAAAAGTGGGTTTCCCTTAGGTCTTGGAGTTCATCTTGCTCTTTGTGACCTGGCGGCTGAGACGCAGTCACCTCTCACTGTGGTGTTGCTGAGGCGGTCCAGTGTGCCCTGCAAGGGACAGTTAGGAAGGGGCAGATGCCTTCCAGGGGGAAGGTTGTTGGAACGTTGCTTGTGACACCTCCTTGGCTGGGCTGTGTGTCCCCATCACCAGGGCAGCCTGGCAGCGTGGAAAACCCTGCACTCGGAATGAGGAAAACCCAGTTCTAATATCACGTTAGGGGCTTGAGGGGCTTTGAGCATATAATTTCACCTCTCTGACCCTCCACTTTTTCCCCTATAAAAAATCAAGGGTAGGCTGGGCGTGGTGACTCATGCTTGTAATCCCAGCACTTTGGGAGACTGAGGTGGAAGTATTGCTTGAGCTTAGGAGCTCTAGACCAGCCTAGGTAACGCAGAGACCTCGTCTCTACTAAAAACAGGCCTGGTGGCATGTGCCTATAGTTCCAGCTACTCAGGAGGCTGAGGTGAAAGAACTGCCTGAGCCCAGGAGGTCAAGGCTGCAGTAAAGCCTGATCGTGCCACTGCTCTCCAGCCTGGTGAACAGAGTGAGACTCCAACTCAAAAAGAAACAAAAACAAACAAGTGAAGGGTGGACTAGGTGATTTCTGAAGGGGTGACCCCGCCACTCTTGAATCTGTATACATTCTTTCCCCTTCCATTGTGAACGTGATGTTGTCTACCTTCCAGCTGGCTGGATCGGCCGTCATTGCTTTTGGACTATGGTTCCGGTTCGGAGGCACCATAAAGGATTTGTCATCAGAGGACAAGTCCCCAGAGTATTTCTATGTGGGTGAGTGACTTCAGCTTCCCTAAGCTTTAACTCAAGGTAGGGCTGTGCAGAGGCTTAGAACAGAGCCTGTGCTTGAACTTTTGTGGGAGGGGGAGGGATAGGGGGCAGGGGAAGAGGAAAAAGGAGACCACACCTGAGCCCCTGTGTCCCTCACCTGGCCCTCAAGGAAAAGCACCGGCTGGCAAGGCAGGGCCTTGCCCCCCACAAAGCCCATCCGCTGCTCCTCAACACCGAGGATGGCCAGTGTTGGTAAGAGCGCCCTGTTAGGCTTCTGTTCTTTGCGAGAGAAGAAGTCTCAAGGAAATGTAGCTAACATGCATTTCAAAGAATTGGCACACTCCCTTTTGCCCTCTGCATAAAGGGGAGACACTGCAAGTCTGTCACTTGCTAACCCCTCTGGGGTGACCCGGAGCCCCGTGCGCAGTCAGGGTTTTATTGTATGATCTTGTGTTTCAAATGGTCTAGGATGAAAATGCAACTCAAAATGGAGAGAGACAACTCGAGGTTTGGAGGGGCTCCTTCAGTCCCTTCAAGACTGGGGATAGAAGAGAGGAGGAGAGGCCGGGAGGGAAGGAGGGCGGGAACGGAGGGGGCACGGCTGGGCAAGGCTGCCCCTGGGGAGAGGCCTTGGTGGGGGAGGGGCAACAGCTTTACTCCCCCCCTTCCCTGCCACAGTAGGCGGGGGATGAGGAGTGCGGGGTAGGGGCAGGGGCTTTGAGTGAGGGGTGAGCATGAGTGCCCTGAGATTAGGTGACCTCCATCCAGCCCTCTCCTGTGGCCTTGTCTTATTCTCCAGCTGGACTCTAGATTTCAAAAAGCCCAAGACCGTTGCCATTATAGACACCGCCCTCGTTTGACGGGCTGTTTTCAGAGCCACACCAAAGAAAATGAGCTCTGATTGCCTGTGGTGACCTCTGTGCCTGGCAAGAAGGAGGGTCCCGCCCCAGTCATTGGCTCTAAATCTTTTTCCCAGGAGAGGGAGAGTCCAGGTTCCACTCAGAGCCATGGGCGTCCTCCTGGACGCCCACGGTTGGGTCACCTCTTCTTCCAAATAGTCTTCCTACATAGCATCCTCCTATGAGAAGAGCCATATCCACTAGGATACTTCTAGAGGAAAGTAACAGAAAATCTACTGAAGATGGCTGGACAACAGAAAGGACATTCCACACTTTGTAAAATCTTAGACGCAGCTTTTGGAAAACACCCCATTATTTTAGGTTCCATTAAGAAAGAAAAAAAAAAATGCTGCCAGTTGAACTATGACATGCCATCAAAGATGGATCTTAATTTCAGAATTGTTAAAAATGTAAAAAAAAGAAAATCTCAAAAGGGATGAAATATGGCAAAAGCGGTCTGGACATGAACAGACACGTCTCAAAGGAAGACATCCAAGCCCCCAACAAACAACCAAGCATCCAACAAGCCTCACTAATCACCAGAGCAATGCAAATAAAAACTGGAATGAGATACCACCTCACACCAGTCAGGATGGCTATCCCTGAAAAGTCAAAAAACCAGTGCTGGCGAGTCTGTAGAAAAAGGGAACGCCTCTATGCTGTTAGTGGGAATGCCAGCTAGTTCAACCTCTGTGGAAAGCAGTGTAGTGATTTCTCAAAGAACTAAAAATTGAGCTCCTATCCACAATCCCACTTCTGGGAATATACCCAGAGGAACATCAGTCGCTCTGCCAGAAAGACACTGGTACACCTATGTTCCTTGCAGCATTATTCACAATAGCAAAAACACGGAACCAACTCAGATGCCCATCAAAAGTAGACTGAATAAACAAACTGTAGTACATACACACGATGGAAGACTATGCAGCCATAAAGAAAAACAAAGTCACGTCCTTTGCAGCAACATGGATGCAGCTGGAGACCATCCTTCTCAATGAACTAACGCAAAAGCAAAAAGCTGAATACCACATGTTCTCACTCATGGGTGGACCCTAAATATTGGGTCCATGAGTACAAAGGCAAGACCCACAAACGCTGGGCACTGCTAAAGGAGGGGGAAAAGAGGTTGGGGGCATACAGCCACCCACTGGGCGCTATGTTCCCTACCAGGGGGAGAGAGAGCTTGCTAGAAGCCCACACCTGACCTGCACACAGTTTACTTAGGTAGTAAATCCTCCTATGTATCCCACGGCTCTAATTTTTTTTTAAGAGCCATCATGTTACACCTCTGTTCAAAAAAAATAAATGAAGTAAATACTAAACACACACACACACACACACACACACACACACACACACACACACAAATCTGGGGATGGGATCTTCCCAGAATCAGCTTCTTTCCCTCTCTCAACTCTGCCACCCTCAGTCCTTCCTCAGATGTCTCCCCCTCATGATTCTAAGATAGCTGCAGTGGCTCCCAGTATCACATCCTCATACAGCAATGTCCAAAGGAGGAAAAAGGCCTCTCCTCATATGGCCCTTTGTAGGAATGACGAAAACCTTCCTCAGAAGCGTACTGGCCAGAATTGCATTGTGTGTTCATGCCTGAACCCATCGTGGCCAAGAAGAGAATTACTAGGCCGGGTTCTCTGGCTGACTGATATTTACTCCGGGACCTGGGCAGGAGCCCAGGCTTTCCCCAGAGGACCTCTGACACTTGGACCAGATTAGGGTTTGGTGACAAGGAAAAAGCAGAGAAATCTGCCATAGACTTCACACCGAAATGCTCTTTTCTGCCTACAGTTTCCAAGTGGCACACACCCATCCATCCACACACAGCATGTTCCTCCTGGGAGGACTCCTGGCTCTGAAAACCTCCCCAGAAGCATTCTTCTGTCGCAGAGCAGGCCCTGAATGTTTCGAGGACAAGCTCAGCCTCTTCTTGTCTCACACCACCCAGGAGTCAGTGAGCCCACCCCAGGGGACACACAGGAACACGCAGAGGAGGGTAGGGGAAGGAACGCATTTTCCCTCATGTAGCTCATATTCTAAGAACGATTCCCCACAATTCCCAACTCAGTGTTAGCACAGTCACAGTTCAGTGCACACTGGATGAGCTGCAACAAAGTTTAATCCCACTTTAATGGGATCCTTGCCTCTCCAGATACACAAAGAAGAATCCTAGAAAAACTGGAATTGTCTTTTGGAGGACAGGCCCCTTGTAGTACACTCGGAATTTGTTCCTCCAGATCAAACGGTCGAGCAAAGTTTTTACCTGGAAGTTTTGAGAAGGCTGTGTCAGGATTTGTGGAAAAAATGTCCCCAGTTATGGCAAACACGTGACTGGTTCTTCCACCATGACAATGCATCTGCCCACACCACACTAAGTGTTCAGCAGTTTTTTAACCAAAAACCTCATGGCCCCAAACCTCACCCACCCTATTCACCCAATCTTGCCCCAAGTGACTTTTTTTTTGTTTCTCCAGATGAACAAAGTCCTCAAAGGAAAATGTTTTGCCGATGCGGAAGAGGTGTAACAAAAAATGGCAGAAACACTAAAAGGCATCAAAATTGACTAGTTCAAAAACTGTTTTGAGAGTGGAAAAAGCATCTTGATAGGTGTCCTGCATCAAACAGAGAGTACTTTAAAGGTGACTGAAGTGCAAACACTTAAGGATAAATGGACAATTTTTTATAAATAAATTCTGGGTTTTTTGGGGACGCACTCGCCCCACCTGTATACAGAGGAAGTGTGCAGTAATCAATAGCGCACAGCAGTCACAAGCCACAAGCATATGGTGGGGGCTGCACCAGTGATCCAGACATAACTACTGAATTATGAAATGAGAAAGAGCCCTGGGGGCCAGTGGGACAGGCCTCTGGGTGTAGGGGTCTTGAAGAACAAGCAGGTTTCAGATAGACTGAGTTAGAAAGAGCCTTATTCATGACTCTGACTTAGGCTGGCAAACACATGGCAGGCAGCTACCATCCTTCCCTTGTCTGGAGAATATGGCTATTGTTCAAGACTTTCTCTGGGGGAGTCTTCTTAACCCAGCTCTTCCCAACCATTTATGACAGATCCTTTTCTTTTCCTACCTCCTCCTAACATGAGGTCCCTCCCAATACATTAGTGGAAATTGTTGCTCCTTCAATTCAGGCTTGGGGTTCTGGGGGTAGCGTTCAATCTCTCTATACTCGCATGCCATTGGATTTGCTCTGGAAGCCTCATCTTCCTCAGGTGTACTCCTAGGAGTTTCCAGCAAAACTTTTTGTGCCCTTAGGTCGATGGGGAGGAGTTTACCCTTAGCTGAAATCAAAACACTGGGAAGAAATCAACCAGTTTTGTAACGTTCACAAATTCTCTTTCGAGTTATTTGGCAATAATTAACTGCCATAAGCCCAGACACCTACCTACCTTCACTGACAGGTTTGAAGTTGAAGGATTTAAATCCCTATGTAATTTTTGTGAGATTGAACTGGAAATTTTTCAGCAATAGTAAAGAAAAACCATTTTAAAAGACCCTGAAGATCAGGGTTACATCTGAAAGGATCCCTAGCCCTCAATAATCATCAACATCTGTCAAGTTAAAAATATCTCCATGATTATTTTAATATTTTGTATTTCACCCAATATTTGACTTTCTGTTAATGTATTTACATATTCAAGCAGAAGTACCATTTTTTGGTCAATTTCTCCACTTGAGGAAAAATATATAACCTGCCAACATAACCAAAGTATAACATCAGCCAGCATTTATAGTCCTGGGCTCTAGGGTCACACAAAAAATTATGAGAAAGTCTAATGTAACTTTCAATGTAAATGACTCATAGACTTGATTATTTAAATTACAGTAAAAATTAGTACATAAGGCTGAGTGTGGTGGCTCATGCCTGTAATCCCAGCACTTTGGGAGGCTGAGGCAGGAGGATTACTTGAAGTCAGGAGTTTGAGACCAGCCTGGGCAACATAGCAAGACCTTGTCTCTACAAAAAATTTAAGAAGTTAGCCAGGTATGATGATGTGAGCCTGTAATAACCAGCTACTTGGGAGGCTGATGCAGGAGAATTGCTTAAGCCCAGAAATTGGAGTCTGTGGTGAGC